TATCAGTGAAGAGGTTAATAGAGCTAGAGAGGAGAGGGCCATGATATCAGTGAAGAGGTTAATAGAGCTAGAGAGGAGAGGGCCATTATATCAGTGAAGAGGTTAATAGAGCTAGAGAGGAGAGGGCCATGATATCAGTGAAGAGGTTAATAGAGCTAGAGAGGAGAGGGCCATGATATCAGTGAAGAGGTTAATAGAGCTAGAGAGGAGAGGGCCATGATATCAGTGAAGAGGTTAAAGAGCTAGAGAGGAGAGGGCCATGATATCAGTGAAGAGGTTAATAGAGCTAGAGAGGAGAGGGCCATGATATCAGTGAAGAGGTTAATAGAGCTAGAGAGGAGAGGGCCATATATCAGTGAAGAGGTTAATAGAGCTAGAGAGGAGAGGGCCATGATCATGAAGAGGTTTAAATAGAGCTAGAGAGGAGATGGCCCATGATTCATGAAGAGGTTAATGAGCTAGAGAGGATGGGCCATGATATCAGTTGAGAGGTTAATAGAGCTAGAGAGGAGAGGGCCATGATATCAGTGAAGAGGTTAATAGAGCTAGAGAGGAGAGGGCATGATATCAGTGAAGAGGTTAATAGAGCTAGAGAGGAGAGGCCCATGATATCAGTGAAGAGGTTCATAGAGCTAGAGAGGAGAGGCCATGAATCAGTGAAGAGGTTAATAGAGCTAGAGAGGATGAGGGCCATGATATCAGTGAAGAGGTTTAATAGAGCTAGAGAGGAGAGGGCCATGATATCAGTGAAGAGGTTTAATAGCTAGAGAGTGAGAGGGCCATGATATCAGTGAAGAGGTTTAATGAGCTAGAGAGGAGAGGGCCATGATATCAGTGAAGAGGTTAATAGAGCTAGAAAGGAGAGGGCCATGATATCAGTTGAAGAGGTTAATAGAGCTAGAGAGGAGAGGGCCATGATATCAGTGAAGAGGTTAATAGAGCTAGAGAGGAGAGGGCCATGATATCAGTGAAGAGGTTAATAGAGCTAGAGAGGAGAGGGCCATGATATCAGTGAAGAGGTTAATAGAGCTAGAGAGGAGAGGCCATGATATCAGTGAAGAGGTTAATAGAGCTAGAGAGGAGAGGGCCATGATATCAGTGAAGAGCAGGGTGTGTGTGTGTCTTTGTGTGTGATGCCCTCTCAATATACCCCATCCCAATTAGGGAGGAGGATGAAGTCACCCCTATACATTGATCTAAGTCAGTTTTGCGTTTCCCTCCCTAATGCTTGAGGTCAGGATTTGGGGAGGATGTGTGTGTGTGTGTGTGTGTGTGTGTGAACTCACGTTGCGTGGCTCCTCGGGGGAGTGTTCCAGTCCGTCGGGGGGGCTCATGCTTCGTGAGGAGGAGGGCTGGATGCAGACCACCTCTCTATCCCAGTCTGCACCTGCACACGGGGTCGGGGGGGTGGCCGGAGGGGCGCACGCACCAGGGGCCTCGGGAGGGGGGCGCAGCATCTGCTCCGGGGACAGGGCACCATCTGCCCCGTCTGGACAAAACACAACAACACAGGAAACAGGAAGTGTTTAAGAGTGTGTGTGCAGAAGAGAGGGAGAGATGGATACCAAGAGAGACAGAGCGGGCTGAAATGGAAGAGAGAGAGAGGGAAGAGAGGGAGAGATGGACACCAAGAGAGAAAGACAGGGCTGAAATGTATGCTGTAGCGTTAAGATTTCCATTCACTGGAACTAAGGGGTCTAGCCCGAACCATGAAAAACAGCCCCAGACCATTATTCCTCCTTCACCAAACTTTACAGTTGGCACTATGCATTCGGGCAGGTAGCGTTCTCCTGGCATTCGCCAAACCCAGAGTTGTTCGTCGGACTGCCAGATGGTGAAGTGTGATTCATCACTCCAGAGAACGCGTTTCCACTGCTCCAGAGTCCAATGGCGCTGAGCTTTACACCACTCCAGCCAATGCTTGGCATTGCGCATGGTGATCTTAGGCTTGTGTGCGGCTGTTCGGCCATGGAAACCCATTGCATGAAGCTCCCGATGAACAGCTCTTGTGCTGACGTTGCTTCCAGAGGCAGTTTGGAACTCGTAGTGAGTGTTGCAACCGAGGACAGACGACTTTTACGCGCTACGCGCTTCAGCACTCGGCGGTCCTTTTCTGTGAGCTTGTGTGGCCTACCACTTTGCGGCTGAGCTGTTGTTGCTCCTAGACGTTTCCACTTCACAACAACAGCACTTACAGTTGACCGGGGCAGCTCTAGCAGGGCAGAAATTTGACAAACTGACTTGTGGAAAAGGTGCCACGTTGAAAGTCACTGAGCTCTTCAGTACGGGCCATTCTACTGCCAGTGTTTGTCTATGGAGAGTGCATGGCTGTGTGCTCGATTTTATACACCTGTCAGCAACGGGTGTGGCTGAACTAGCCGAATCCGCTAATTTGAACGGGTGTCCACATACTTTGAAGGGGTGTCCACATACTAGTGTAGTTGGGGAGGTCTCACCTCGTGTGTTGTCGGTGGAATAGGGGTTCCCGTACTGCAGCTCTGCAGGTCTCTGGGGTACCAGGGGGGGTGGGGAGGGGTCCTGGGGGTAGGGCAGGGGGTAGCGCAGCACCACAGGCTGTTTGACCTCTGACCCCTGACCATCAGCCTCCTGATCCCTCTGTCGGCCCTGACACCGCTGCAGCTCCTGGCATGGGGACAAGATGGCCAGTGAGGACAACTTCAAACAAAACACATGATTGGAAAATATATTAGCACCGAATAAAACCAAGAAAACCAGGTAATCAGACTGTGCTTATCTTTTCCATCATTTGGGGTTTGATTGTTTGATTGAATTATTGAGGATAAAAACAGTCTTTAGGCTTATTTCCATTGAGGTCCTCATTTTGCAGCAACAAAACCAATGTCAAGGGGCATGATTTCACCTTGACATTACCTTAATTGAAACAATAACAAAGGGTCACCTCGCCTCGGTTTTGGTAAACAGCTGAGGGATGGGCCTGGAGAAATGGTACCACTCTCAAATTCATAGACAGAGCTATGGATGCAAGGACTGACCATCCATATCGAAATTATAGTTTTAACCATGTTTTGAGGCTATACAGTGTTTGTTTCCATTTACATTGTTAACAAACATTGGAGTAAAACAAGCCTGTGTGTTGGGTTTTGATGGGGTTCGACAGTTGAACTAAACTCATGAGGCATTTATAAGTGAATCAATGGGTATATATCATTAATTTATAAGTCCAATATGGATGTAGCAACTAAGGATTCTAGCTTTAACCCATTACAGTCTACGCCCTGTCTGTTGGCAGTTCAGCGAGTCCCAAGACACTTGTGAGGGTTGTAGAGCAAAACGGAGCACGCCATCGTGTTTGTGAGAGTCTCATCCTTCCATAGAGGGGTCATAATAGTTTGTGCCAAACCGTTCAGACAATTTTGTGAGAAGATCGATTTTCGGGATGTCTCATGGTCTGACGAACACCTCTCTAGCTCTGTCACCTTTCACCGCAGATGCAGAAGTAAAACATTGGCGGATGCAGTTGATTGAGACTAAAATATATCTGTACCTTAAACTGACAGATTTATGGGGGCACGGACATCGACTCTAGGGGTTAAAGTCTGGACAAATCTGACTAACTTTAAGTTATGAGTGAAATGTCCCTTTAGGCTAGGCAACAATCATAGATATACAGTAGATCTGCACTATATCTATAGATATGTATACGTCTATGGCCCTGGACTAGGTACCACTGGAGCAGGACCTGGATGACATACCTATGGCCAGTCTGAAATCTCCTATCCTCTACACCTAGACACCTCTCCTATATCTGAAATGATCCATTGGAGCTTATTTCAGATGGTATATTTAAGTAATAAGGCGCGAGGGGGTGTGGTATATGGCCAATACTACGGCTAAGGGCTGTTCTTATGCATGATGCAACACGGAGTGCCTGGATACAGCCCTTAGCCGTGGTATATTGGCCATATACCACAAACTCCCGAGGTGCCTTATTGCTATTATAAACTGGTTACCAACGTAATTAGAGCAGTAAAAATAAATGTTTTGTCATACCCATGGTATTCAGTCTGATATACCACAGCAGTCAGACAATCAGCATTCAGGGCTCGAACCACCCAGTTTTTTTATTTTATTTATTTATTTAACCTTTATTTAACTAGGCAAGTCAGTTAAGAACAAATTCTTATTTACAATGACGGCCTACACCGGCCAAACCCGGACGACGCTGGGCCAATTGTTTGCCACCCTATGGGACTCCCAATCACGGCCGGAATCGAACCAGGGGGTCTGTAGTGACGCCTCAAGCCCTAAGATGCAGTGCCTTAGACCACTGCGCCACTCTGGAGCCCATCATTAAGATTAGGAGCAACTTCACGGTTTTCTTCCTTAGAACTCCAAGCAGTTCTACCTGCAGTTCAATCTGAAGTCAACTGTTATAATAATCTGCTCATTACTGTTAGAGGTGTCAAAACTCCAGCCCACATAGCTCTCGCATGCTTGCTAAAGGTGCTCGCCCTCTCCCTCTCTCTCTTTCCTTTCTTTCTCCTTCCCCCTCATTTTTCCTCCTTAATTAGTGCAGGGCTATCCAGTTTAACATTTAAAAGAGGGTGATCACGGGGTGAAACAGACACGGAGGATGGCATTTGCACCATTTAATGGTTAGTGTATCATGGCAGTACAGTGCAGAGTGTATCATTAGTTGGAATCTAGAAATTGGGGGAGAGGGAGGAAGCTATAGAACTAGTAGTAGGTTGGTAAATTCAGTGCTTTTGGTAGTAGGCTTATAACAGCTTGTATCAGCTAAACTCTCGCAGGCTTCAGTAGTAGCTCTATGAAAGCACTTAATAACAACTCAAACATATGACAGCTCATGGCTCCTGTGTTATGATGTTTTAACAGCTGTGTACTGTAACTGATGCTATAGAGCTGTATGAATGTTCATAGTACCTCCTTGAGTTGGTTCTTCTCTCTGAGGGCCTGAGCCAGACTCTCCTTCAGCTCTGTCACCTCCATGGCCCTCTCTACCATCTGGATCTACACAGAGGAAACATCAGACAAACATCAGATAAAACATCAAACATTAGAAAAACATTGTACCCATTGGCCACAAGTGAAAGAGAACTTACAGATGTAGCCTTTAATGAGGAACCATTATAAGTCATCATGTATACAGTGGGGAAAAAGAGTATTTAGCCATAATTTGCAAAAAAAATCCTACAATGTGATTTTCTGGAGAAAGAAAATCTCAATTTGTCTGTCATAGTTGACGTGTACCTATGATGAAAATTACAGGCCTCTCTCATCTTTTTAAGTGGGAGAACTTGCACAATTGGTGGCTGACTAAATACTTTCCCCCCCCCCCCACTGTATACAATCCCAGACATAACCTACTCTAGTGCACTGGGGGTGAATATAAATCACACACTTGTCCCTCTCTCCCCCCCTTCATCCATCCATCCATCTACAGTGCCTTCAGAAAGTATTCACACCCCTTAACTTTTCTACATTTTGTTGTGTTACAAAGTGGGATTAAAATTGTTTTTTTATTTTTATTTTATTTTAATAATCTACACAAAATACTCTAATGTCAAAGTGGAAGAAAAATTCTAACATTTTGTAAAAATGTATGGAAAATAAAACAGTAATATATCTTGATTAGATAAGTATTCAACCCCCTGAGTCAATTCATGTTAGAATCACCTTTGGCAGCAATTACAGTGGTGAGCTTTCTGGGTAAGTCTTTAAGACCTTTGCACATCTGTATTGTACAATAATTGCACATTATTCTTTTTTTAATTATTCAAGCTCTGTCAAGTTGGTTGTTGATCATTACTAGATGGCCATTTTCATGTCTTGCCATAGATTTTGAAGCCGATTTAAGTCAAAACTGTAAAAACGCCACTCAGGAACATTCAATGTCGTCTTGGTAAGCAACTCCAGTGTATATTTTGCCTCGTGTTTTAGGTTATTGTCCTGCTGAAAGGTGAATTTGTCTCCCAGTGTCTGTTGGAAAGCAGACTGAACCAGGTTATCTTCCATGTTTTGGAATATTTTTATTCTGTACAGGCTTCCTTCTTTTCACTCTGTCATTTAGGTTAGTATTGTTGAGTAACTACAATGTTATTGATCCATCGTCAGTTTTCTCCTATCAACTGTAGCTGTTTTAAAGTAACCATTGGCCTCATGGTGAAATCCCTGAGCAGTTTCCCTTCTCTACGGCAACTGAGTTAGGAAGGATGCCGGTATATTTGTAGTGACTGGGTGTATTGATACACCATAATAATAACTTCACAATACTCAAAGGGATATATTCAATGTCTGCTTTTAAACATTTTACCCATCTACCAATAAGTGCCCTTCTTTGCGAGGCATCGGAAAACCTCCCTGGTCTTTGTGGTTGAATCTGTGTTTGAAATTCACTGCTCGACCAAGGGACCTTTCAGATAATTATATGTGTTGGGTACAGAGATGAGGTAGTCCATGCAACTTATTATGTGACTTGTTAAGCACATTTTTACTCCTGAACTTATTTAGGCTTGCCATAACAAAGTGGTTGAATACGTATTGACTCAAGACATTTCAGCTTTTCATTTTTAATAGATAATTCTAAAAACATAATTCCACTTTGACATTATGGGGTATTGTGTGTAGGCCAGTGACACAAAATCTAAATGTAATCAATTTTAAATTCAGGCTGTAATGTAAGAAAATGGGGAAAAAGTTTAGGGGTCTAAATACTTTCCGAATGCATTCATAAAATATTCACACCCCTTCGCTTTTTGTTTTTTTGTTTTATCATACTACACACAATACCCCATAATGACAAAGTGAAAACAGGTTTTTAGAATTTTTTGCTAATGTATTAAAAAGAAAAAACAGAAATACCTTATTTACATAAGTATTCAGACCCTTTGCTATGAGACTCGAAATTGAGCCAGGTGCATCCTGTTTCCATTGATCATCCTTAAGATGTTTCTACAACTTGATTGGAGTCCACCTGTGGTAAATTCAATTGATTGGACATGAATTGGAAAGGCACACACCTGTCTATATAAGGTCCCACAGTGCATGTCAGCAAAAACCAAGCCATGAGGTCAAAGGAATTGTCCGTAGAGCTCCGAGACAGGATTGTGTCGAGGCACAGATCTGGGGAAGGGTACCAAAACATTTCTGCAGCATTGAAGGTCCCCAAGAACACAGTGACCTCTATCATTCTTAAATAGAAGAAGTTTGGAACCACCAAGACTCTTCCTAGAGCTGGCCGCCCGGCCAAACTGAGCAATCGGGGGGGAAAGGGCCTTGGTCAGGGAGGTGACCAAGAACCCGATGTTCACTCTGACAGAACTCCAGAGTTCCTCTGTGGAGATGGGGTACCCTTCCAGAAGGACAACCATCTCTGCAGCACTCCACCAATCAGGCCTTTATGGTAAAGTGGCCAGACGGAAGCCACTCCTCAGTAAAATGCACGACAGCCTGCTTGGAGTTTGCCAAAAGGCACCTAAAGGACTCTCAGATGCCAAGCGTCACATCTGGAAGAAACCTGGCACCATCCCTACGGTGAAGCATGGTGGTGGCAGCATCATGCTGTGGGGATGTTTTTCAGCGGCAGGGACTGGGAGACTAGTCAGGATCGAGGGAAAGATGAACATAGCAAAGTACAGAGAGATCCTTGATGAAAACCTGCTCCGGAGCGCTCAGGACCTCAGACTGGGACGAAAGTTCACCTTCCAACAGGACAACGACACTAAGCACACAGCCAAGACAACGCAGGAGTGGCTTTGGGACAAGTCTCTGAATGTCCTTGAGTGGCCCAGCCAAAGCCCGGACTTGAACCCGATCGAACATCTCTGGAGAGACCTGAAAATAGCTGTGCAGCGACTCTCCCCATCCAACCTGACAGAACTTGAGAGGATCTGCAGAGAAGAATGGGGGAAACTCCCCAAATACAGGTGTGCCAAGCTTTTAGCGTTATACCCAAGAAGACTCGATGCTGTAATCGCTGCCAAAGGTGCTTCAACAAAGTATTCAGTAAAGGGTCTGAATACTTACGTATTTCTAAAAACCTGTTTTTTCTTTGTCATTATGGGGTATTTGTGTAGATTGATGAGGGGAAAAAATATTTAATCAATTTTAGAATAAGGCTGTAACGTAACAAAATGTGGAAAAAGTAAAGGGGTCTGAATAGTTTCTGAATGTACTGTATGTATGTATAAGGGTTTCTGTTAACCGGTAATAGCCGGCTTTTGACCCAAAAATTATAATAGAAAAGCCGATAAATAAAATTGGTGCTGGATTGGCTGGGAGAAGAAAAAATCCCATTGCGAAATAATGCTTTTTAGCCTATTCATGGATGGACATACCAGTCGATGGAAATACATTTGACTGGTCATGCTTATCGGTCTATAGGTTCATTTGCATAATTTAGTGGAAATAAATTGGAGCGTGTGTACAGTATATTGGTTATGTATCTTATTCATCACACACGTACAGCATACAGATACAGACAATCATTCAGACAGCAGGAGAGCTGCTGCTACAGCATCTCAAACAGTAAATGCACAGGCAACGGAAGACAGATCTCCCCTCTTAATAAATGTCTAACGGATATTTTCATCTCTGTCACATGAAACCACTCGCATGTGCAGTGTCCTTTTGACAAAGGTGTTTTCCCTCTAATTACATTATGGAACAAACATTTGTGGGTAGACTACTGCCTTGTGCACATTGCTGCACTAATAATGTTAAGAAATAATAGTTTATCAACATTTTAAGCTAAATGTTCTGATCTGTTGCATCAGACTCATTGCTTTTTAACGTTTTTTTTATGTAGCCTAGGCCTACTGGTTGTATGATTTTGGGATCTACCGTCCCACAACTGTCCAAGAGTCTGTTTGGAGTAGGCTATTTCTTTCTCGACAAGCTGACCAATAGAATAGGTAAACTTTTCTACTATAGTAGATTAACATAGGGTAGTGATTTTGCTGTTCGTTACTCGTCTTGTTGGCTGAGGAAAAGTAAATGTGGACAGTTATTCTAAGATCTTCAAAGTGCGCACAAGCCTAAGATCACCATGCGCAATGCCAAGTGTTGGCTGGAGTGATGTCCTCTGGAGCAGTGGAAACGCGTTCTATGGAGTGATGAATCACGCTTCGGAGACCGGGGCAGCTCTAGCCAGGCCTAAGCGCCCAACATCAGTGCCTGACCTTACTAATGCTCTTGTGGCTGAATGGAATCAAGTCCCCGCAGCAATGTTCCAACATCTAGTGGAAAGCCTTCCCAGAAGAGTGGAGGCTGTTATAGCAGCAAAGGGGGGACCAACTCCAAATTAATGGCCATGATTTTGGAATGAGATGTTCGACGAGCAGGTGTCCACATGAAAAAAATATTGTGGGGGGTGTTTTGTTAGACTTCAGTGCGGCTTTTGACATTATCGATCATAGTCTGTTGCTGGAAAAAACATATGTGTTATGGCTTTACACCCCCTACTATATTGTGGATAAAGAGTTACCTGTCTAACAGAACACAGAGGGTGTCCTTTAATGGAAGCCTCTCCAACATAATCCAGGTAGAATCAGGAATTCCCCAGGCCAGCCGTCTAGGCCCCTTACTTTTTAAAATCTTTACTAACGACATGCCACTGGCTTTGAGTAAAGCCAGTGTGTCTATGTATGCGGATGACTCAACACTATACCCGTCAGCTACCACAGCAACACTGAACAAAGAGCTGCAGTTAGTTTCAGAATGGATCTCACAGAGATCAAACACACACACACACCTCACTGACTCTGACAGAAGTACACACTCACTCATGCGAAACACACACTTGCTTGTGCACAGACACACACACCCTGAGTCAGTCCAGAGGAATAAGTGGACCAGAGGAGGAAGATAATTGACTGAGCTGACCTCACAGGGTTGACCTAGACACAACCTTATCTGCCTGGCAGAGAGACTGGGTGTGTTTGTGTGCCAGAATGTGTGTGTGTGGGTGTGTACAACTATTGTTCTTAAATGTGAGCATGACCATGTATGTATGTATGTATGTGTGTGTGTGTGTATAGTGTGTGTATGCATTGATGACTCACCCTGAATCGCTCCTCCTCATTAGCCAGTCTCTGTTTAAGTGTCTCGTTGATAGCACACTGCTCCGCCCACTTCTCCTCCATCCTCGCCAGCTCCTCCTCCACCGAACGAGTCTGTTCTTTCTCTACCTCCTCCGCACTCCTCCCCTCATCCCCCTCTACCTCCTCCGCACTCCTCCCCTCATCCCCCTCTACCTCCTCACACTCCTCCCCTCCCCACACTCCTCCCCTCATCCCCCTCTACCTCCCCCACACTCCTCCCCTCATCCCCCTCTACACTCCTCTCATCCACCTCTTCAGCACTCTTCCTCTCATTCTCCACCTCCACCCAACTCTCCATCTTCATGCACTCCTCTCCTCCACTCCTGTCCTCCTTCCTCTCCTCTTCTCCACTCCTGTCCTCCTTCCTCTCCTCTCCTCCACTCCTGTCCTCCTTCCTCTCCTCTTCTTTCTCTTTCTCCCCTCCCCTCACTTCCTTTTCTATCTCTTCCCCATTTATCCCCGTCCACTCTTTCTCCCCAGCTCTCATGGTCTCCATGCCTGAGAATGTGTTGGTGTGTGCGTCGGTCTGTGCGTGTTCCCTGTTTTTGTCACGCCGGTTAGGGACAACAGGCCTCTCAGTGTCTCCTCTCAGCACAGTTGCAGACAGATTGCCTGTAAACATACACATATTACAGGATTTAGTATTAAAGAGATAAGCGTGTGTGTGTGTTTGTGTGTCTGTGTGTGTGTATATACCTGCTCTAGGTGACTCTGGACTGGGTGTCAGTGGCTCCTGGGTCGTCTCAGTGGCAGCGTTTCTCTTTGACTCCTACAAACATGAGAGGAAACTAGTTGAATCAATCTGTGGACATAAGACTCACAAGGCTGTACCCTATTCCTAATCTCTGTCAATTTAGAATAATTTGGTCAGCTGCGTGATTCATTTCTGTGTTCATACGTGTTGTAAATGGAGAGTTCCGGCAAAACGGTAGTCTCCACCCAAAGCCCACTCTGGACTACTGCAACTCTGTTGGCTGGGCTCCCCGCTTGTGCCATCAAACCCCTGCAACTTATCCAGAACGCTGCAGCCTGCCTGGTGTTCAACCTTCCCATGTCACCCCACTCCTCCACACTCTCCACTGGCTTCTGGTCGAAGCTCGCATCCACTACAAGACCATGGTATTTGCCTACAGAGCAGCAAGAGGAACTGCCCCTTCCCTACCTCCAGGCTATGCTCAAACCCTACACCTCAACCCAAGCACTTTGTTCTGCCACCTCTGGTCTCTTGGCCCTCCCACCCCTTGCGGGAGGGAAGCTCCCACTCAGCCCAGTCAAAGCTCTTCTCTGTCCTGGCACCCCAATTGTGGAATCAGCTTCCCCCTGAAGCTAGGACAGCAGAGTCCCTGCCCACCTTCGCACCCCTCCTCACCCCTACCCCGAGAAAATAACTTACTAGCTCGGACTTTGCTGATAACTACTTTATTAAAAGGGAAATGTTATTTCTATGACTGTGATATGTGGTTGTCCCACCTAAATATCTTAAGATGAATGCACTAACTGTAAGTCGCTCCGGATAACAGCGTCTCCTAAATGACTCAAATGTAAACAATGTCAAATGTACCACAAGATGGCACTGCGACGATGTGATGTGGTATAGTACAGTATTGTAGACAGACAGAAAGACAGACAGACTCACCCCCTGGGCCTCGCTGAGCTTGGCCACCTGCCTGCGGAGCCGCTGACACTCCCTGTACTTCTCCTTGTAGTGCTCAGCGGCCATGTGGAGACGCAGCTTCAGCTCCTCCACCTCTCTCTGTAGCTCAGCCTCCGCCTCAGATACCACACACCCCCCCTCACTGGAGGTCCCCACACCCTGGGGGAGGGAGGGAGAGTTAGGGGGATAGAGGGGGAGGGTGGAGCGGACAGAGGGAGGAGGGGAGGGTGGAGCGGGCAGATGAGGTGGGGAGGGGGTTAGGGAAGAGGTGAGGGGAGGGTGGAGCGGACAGAGGGAGGGGGGGAGGGGGAGTTAGGGGACAGAGGGGGAGGGTGGAGCGGACAGAGGAGGAGGGGATGAGGTTGGAGGTATCAGAGGGGGAGGGTGGTGAGCGACAGAGGAGGTTGGGAGGGGTTAGGGGGATAGAGGGGGAGGGTGGAGCGACAGAAGGAGAGGAGGAGGGTGTGAGTGGACAGGGGTGGGTGGAGGGACTAGGGAGAGGGGGAGGGTGGAGCGGACAAGAGGTGGGGAGGAGTTAGGGGATAATGGGGGGGCTACGGGTTGGAGGGAGTGAGTTCGACAGAGGTAGTCGTGCTGGACGTTGCATTGTTTACGATACAGGGGGAAAGTTTTGAGAGTCAGCCACCAATTGTGATTCGTCCCCGTAAGATGAGGGTCCTGTATTTTCTCATGTCACTCACATGACGAAAATTAGGGAAAATCCGTAAACTTGTTTAAGATTTTTAATGTAATTTCATTATGCAAATTAGGTGCAAAAAATATGTTTTGGTCAATAACAAAAGTTTCTCAATACTTTGTTATATACCCTTTGTTGCAATGACACAGGTAAGAGTTTTCACACACTGTTGCTGTATTTTGGCCCATTCCTGCATGCAGATCTCCTCTAGAGCAGTATTTTTTTGGGGCTGTGCTGGCAACACGGACTTTCAACTCCCTCCAAAGATTTTCTATGGGGTTGAGAACTGGAGACTGGCTAGGCCACACCAGGACCTTGAAATGCTTCTTACGAAGCCACTCCCGGGCGGTGTGTTTGGGATCATTGTCATGCTGAAAGACCCAGCCACGTTTCATCTTCAATGCCCTTTCTGATGGAAGGAGGTTTTCACTCAAAATCTCACGATACATGGCCCCATTCATTCTTTCCTTTACACGGATCAGTCGTCCTGGTCCCTTTGCAGAAAAACAGCCCCAAAGCATGATGTTTCCACCCCCATGCTTCACAGTAGGTATGGTGTTCTTTGGATGCAACTCAGCATTCTTTGTCCTCCAAACACGACGAGTTGAGTTTTTACCAAAAAGTTATATTTTGGTTTCATCTGACCATTTGATATTCTCCCAATCCTCTTCTGGATCATCCAAATGCACTCTAGCAAACTTCAGACGGGCCTGGACATGTACTGGCTTAAGCAGGGGGACACGTCTGGCACTGTAGGATTTGAGTCCCTGGCGGCGTAGTGTGTTACTGATGGTAGGCTTTGTTACTTTGGTCCCAGCTCTCTGCAGGTCATTCACTAGGTCCCCCCGTGTGGTTCTGGGATTTTTGCTCACCGTTCTTGTGATCATTTTGACCCCACGGGGTGAGATCCTGCGTGGAGCCCCAGATCGAGGGAGATTATCAGTATGTCTTCCATTTCCTAATAATTGCTCCCACAGTTGATTTCTTCAAACCAAGCTGCTTACCTATTGCAGATTCAGTCTTCCCAGCCTGGTGCAGGTCTACAATTTTGTTTCTGGTGTCCTTTGACAGCTCTTTGGTCTTGGCCATAGTGGAGTTTGGAGTGTGACCGTTTGAGGTTGTGGACAGGTGTCTTTTATACTGATAACAAGTTCAAACAGGTGCCATTAATACAGGTAACGAGTGGAGGACAGAGGAGCCTCTTAAAGAAGAAGTTACAGGTCTGTGAGAGCCAGAAATCTTGCTTGTTTGTAGGTGACCAAATACTTATTTCTACCATAATTTGCAAATAAATTCATAAAAAATCCTACAATGTGACTTTCTGGAAAAAAAAATCTCAATTTGTCTGTCATAGTTGACGTGTACCTATGATGAAAATTGACAGGCCTCTCTCATCTTTTTAAGTGGGAGAACTTGCACAATTGGTGGCTGACTAAATACTTTTCTTCCCCACTGTATAGCAGTTCTAAATTAATCTTCTATTTCAAAATTGTTTAAACTAAGAAAGATAAAACCTTGAGAGTAATCATCCAAAGTTCAAGCCTGAAGCTACTTACTGGTCCAACCGTATGAACGTCTCTGTGGAAATCTATGGTCAGAAATCCTTTAAGAAATGAGGAGATGGTAATCCCCCTGACCAATGAATAGGGGAACGCCCCGCCCAGCAGACTGTTGACCAATCGCGTTCATGTTGTCATGCTGCATCACTCCATTGCTAACCTAATAATCACGCAATCCCTTCATAAGAGTCGAGAAACCTGCCTATTTTCCTTGAATGTACGAAATGTCATGATTTCAAAGCTATACAATATATCTCACATCTCGGAAAAGATTTGTAATGTTGTGCTTCTTGTTCATGTAATTCATGCTAATGTTGGGTTTTGTGCTAGCGCCAAATTGACTCCCATTCACTCCTTGACCCAGAATGCATCACGCAGTCCATTTACAACGTACGGGCAACATACACAATGGCCGTTAATACGAATGGAATGGAGTTTACCATCTTCTCATTTCTGTTATGGTCCCCTTACCACTTCCTGCTGGGAGGTGGTCCTCATGCGGTCCAGCTGCGTCTCCATTCGCCGGCACTCGGCCTGGGCATCGGCCAGACTGGCGCGGAGGGCGTCAGCCTCTAGGCGGGCGCGGTACAGCTCGGTCATGGTGCGATCGCGGGCGCTCGTTGAGTCACGGAGTTCAGACGCCAACATGGCGGCCTGCTGGCGAGAAGCCTGGAGCTGCTCCTCGCACTGGCGAAGCTGCTCCCTCAGACGACCCATCTCAGCCTGGAGAGAGGGCGGAGCAGACAGGTTAATACGCATTTACACACAGATAAACACACACACATTTAGCCTACATGTGCAGACACAAACACACACTCCCCCCACGACCCCCCTCCTTACCTTGTCGACAGCGTGTGTGTGCAGCTCTTTCTCCAGGCGGTCCTTCTGAGTGACACAGACTCGGAGCCTGTCCAGTTCTTCCTGGAACTGAGCGATAGTCACCTCTCTGTTGAGTTCCACAGCCTTCAGCATCTGCAGCTCTGCACTCAGCTTAGTGTTCTCCAGCTCCGTGCTGCGCAGGTGGGCCTACAGACACACACAATTAGAAACACACACACACACACACACACACACGATTAGAAACACACACACACACACACGATTAGAAACACACACACACACACACGATTAGAAACACACACACACACACACACACGATTAGAAACACACACACACACACACACACACGATTAGAAACACACACACACACGCACACGATTAGAAACACACACACACACAATTAGAAACACACACACACATGATTAGAAACACACACACACACACGATTAGAAACACACACACACACGCACACACACGATTAGAAACACACACACACACACACGCACACACACACATGATTAGAAACACACACACACACACACGCACACACACGATTAGAAACACACACACACGGACACACACACACACACACACACACACAGTGTATCCTCTCACCTTGTAGAGGTCCCTCTCATCCTTCTCATTCTTCAGTTGAGTTTCCAGACTGTCTCTCTCTGCTGTCAGTTTCTTCAACCTGTCTCTCAGACTGGACAACAACCACCACCACCACAACAGATATCAGAGGATTCTACTGCATTAACACCAATAATGTTTCTGTGTGTCGCTCTGGATGGGGGTCTGTTAGATGACTAATGTGATGTAGATGTTGAGCGGCTTCACTGCAAGTAGATTGTATGTTTTAATATTCAATAAATATATTTAAAAATATATATATATATATATATATATATAACACCAATAATGTTAGTTCTCTGTAGAGTATCTATGGTGTGTGCGTTTCTCATCAACAGTACAGTTCCTATCCTTCTGCAGGGCTTTTGACTGACTCCCAGTGTGCGTTCCTCCTCACCAGTCCAATTCAGTCTCTTTCTGCAGTCCTTTCTGTGTGACTCCCAGTAGGTCCTCCTCCAGTTGTTTGACCCTGTCTGTGGCCTCCTGCAGCCTCCTCCTCACCTCCTCCCTCTCCTCTGACAGGCCCTGGGAGGAGCGCAGCAGCTCCTGCAACCACACCACAGGACGCTTAACCTGACAATCACACTGTCAACCAATCACAGACACTGTCAGTCCAGTAAGACCAAGCGTGTGAAACTTGGTTCCTGGAGGGCCGACTGTTTCCTGGTTTCCTTTAAAATTGTGTTCAATAAAGACCTAGACAACCAGGTGAGGGGAGTTCCTATCTAATCAATTACCTTAACTGATCAATCAAGTACAAGGGTCGGGAGGAGCAAAATCCTACAGACGCTTGGCCCTCCTGAGTTAGCCCCTTTGTCTATCAATGGAAATGCTGTGTGATAATGAATGTCAGGCCTATTTCCCTTCAAAAGCACTGACTAGTTTTCCATCCTAATGTTCTGAATAGGGGAGGAGACAGGGAGAGGAAGCCAGTACTATCCTGTATCCTGTACCTGGTCCAGCCAGTGATCTCTCCTGTTGGAACACGCTCATGTTGAGAAGTAGAGGATATTAAATCACCCCCAACACACACTGCACCTGACAGGCAAGAATGCCTACACACACCCCTACATCTCTCAACACACACACACACACACACACACACTTGTGCATCAGACGCAGACAGACAAGTGCAGTATATGAAAAATATATAAAACACGTGCACACACACACACACACACACACACACACACACACACACACACACACACACACACACACACACACACAGTCTCCCTCTGGGCTTGGATCCCTGGATGACTGTATGTTTTAACTGCAGACGTTTGGGAGGCACTTCAGCAGTGCATAAAGACATTTTAAAACGCGTCATCGTAAAACTAGCAGCCGCAAAATATGTACTTATGTTTTCATGTTCCAGCTAAAGGATATTTTAATCAGTGCTGCACTAAATAAGGCCTGTGGTGAACATACTCAAGTGTTCAATGTATACTACACAAATACCCACACACAGCACTATAAAGAGAAACGCTTATTAGGTAACAAAGAATTCAACATAAATAATAATCTCTCTGCAAAAAATTGTATCAACTCTCTCAAAGCTGCCCTGAGCAAGGCAGTTAAAGTTCTACAACTGACTAGGTATCCCCCTTTCCCCTACTACAGACACACACACGCCAAGCCAAGTTCATGTCTAGGAAAAAGCACCAGGGGGCAGTAAGAGACTGGTTCCCATATCATCAACCTTCTCCCCTGGCAGTTTGGTTATTCACTGAACAGCACACCAAATGTTATTTAAAATAAATTAGAAAATTAAAGTCGCTCTCAGCAGTTGCACTAAGATGAAAGATGAAACAGGAAGAGGAGAAGGAGAGAGCGCGAGAGAGAGAGAGGAGGAGAGAGAGAGAGAGAGAAAGACAAGACAAGGAAAGAAAGAAAGAAAGACAGAAAGAAAGAAAGAAAGAAAGAAAGAAATAAAGAAGACAGAGATAGAGAGAGAGAGAATAGAATAGAAAGACAGAGAGAGAGATAGAGAGAGAGAGGATCGAAGAGAAGACACCGAAGAGAGACGCTCTCCTACGATACCTCCCGCTATCTAGACCTTCTCCTCTAGAGCATATCCATCCTCTAGATCTTAGAGAGAGAGAGAGAGAGAGAGAAAGACAGAAGAGCGAGAGCGAGAGAGAGAGCGAGCGAGAGAGCGAGACATAGAGAGAGCGAGAGAGAGAGAGATAGAGAGAGAGAGAAGGAGAGAGAGAGAGAGAGAGAAGAGAGAGAGCAGAGAGGAGAGAGGAGAAGGAGAGAAGAAGAGAGAAGAAAGGCGAAGAGAAGAGAGTTTGTGCCCCAAGTAGAATGCTGTGACTGAGTCATGTTTGTCCCTAGGCAGGGCCTTTTTTCACTCAGGTGGTTTTGTGGACACCCGTCTCTCATTCCACACACATTCTAAAAGAGGTTGCAAGCGGCTGGCATTTTTTGTGTGTGTCTGTGGGGGCGAATGAGAATGTGTGTGGGGGGGGAGTAGTTTGTGGGATTGACTGTGTGTGTCTGTGTGTCTGTGTGTCTGTGTGTGTGGGCTTGACGTCATATTTGTTTACTCTGTGGTTGAGATGGAATCACCCTGACGCCAGATGCCTGGGAGACCGTGTCCCGTTAGCGTTCTGGCCCAGTGATTCAGATCGTAAAAAAAAGAGGGACAGAGAGACTGGTACACACACACATGAAAAAAGCAAAGGAAAAAAAAGAAGAAAATCATTCATAAACTTCCGGTCTTTGATGTTTTTAACCTGTGATCACTGAAGAGGAACTGGCACCAACCGGACAATATCTACACTCACAGGTCTCTGACCTGCTCCCCCTCTCTGTACAGCCTCCTGACTACAGTATACAGTGCATTCTGAAAGAATTCAGACCCCTAGACTTTTTCCACATTTTGTTACGTTACAGCCTTTTTTCCCCCTCATAAATCTACACACAATAACCCATAATGACTAAGCAAATGTAGGCATTTTTGCAAATGTATAAAAACTGAAATATTACATTTACATAAGTATTCAGACCCTTTACTCATGACTTTGTTGAAGCACCTTTGGCAGCGATTACAGCCTCGAGTCTTGGGTATGACGCTACAAACTTGGCACACCTGTATTTGGGGAGTTTCTCACATTCTTCTCTGCATATCCTCTCAAGCTCTGTCAGGTTGTATGGGGAGCATCGCTGCACAGTTATTTTCAGGTCTCTCCAGAGATGTTCGATCGGGTTCAAGTCCGGGCTCTGGCTGGGCCACTCAAGGACATTCAGAGACTTGTCCTGAAGCCACTCCTGCGTTATCTTGGCTGTGTGCTTAGGGTCATTGTCCTGTTAGAAGGTGAACCTTTGCCCTGAGCGCTCCGGAGCAGGTTTTCATCAAGGATCTCTCTGTACTTTGCTATGTTCATCTTTCCCTCGATCCTGACTAGTCTCCCAGTCCCCGCCACTGAAAAACATCCCCACAGCATGATGCTGCCTCGACACAATCCTGTCGTCTCTGAGCTCTATGGACAATTCCTTCTACCTCATGGCTTGGTTTTTGCTCTGACATGCACTGTCAGCTTTGGGACCTTATATAGACAGGTGTGTGCCTTTCCAAATCATGTCCAATCAATAGAATTGACCACAGCTGGACTCCAATCAAGTTGTAGAAACATCTCAAGGATGATAAATGGAAACAGGATGCACCCGAGCTCAATTTAAAGTCTCATAGCAAATGGTCGGAATACTTAAGGTGTTTTGTTTTTTATTTTCAATACATATGCTAAAATCTCTAAAAACCTGTTTTCGCTTTGTCATTATGGGGTATTGTGTGTAGATTGATGAGGAAAAATGTATTTAATCAATTTTAGAATAAGGCTGTAACGTAACAAAATGTTGAAAAAGGGAAGGGGTCTGAATACTTTCCGAATGCGCTGTATCTACACTCACAGGTCTCTCTCCTGCTCCCCCTTTCTGTATAGCCTCCTGACTACACTACCGGTGTAGTCAGTAGGAGAACACCTACTCCATCAATGGTTTTTCTTCATTTTTACTATTTTCTACATTGTAGAATAATAGTGAAGACATCAAAACTATGAAATAACACATACGGAATCATGTAGTAACCAAAAAAGTGTTAAACAAATCAAAATATATTTTAGATTTCAGATTCTTCAAAGTAGCCACCCTTTGCCTTGATGACAGCTTTGCACACTCTTGGCATTCTCTCAACCAGCTTCATGAGGTAGTCACCTGGAATGCTTTCCCAACAGTCTTGAAGGAGTTCCCACATATGCTGAGCACTTCTTGGCTGCTTTTCCTTCATTCTGCGGTCCAACTCATCCCAAACCATCTCAATTGGGTTGAGGTCGGGTGATTGTGGAGGCCAGGTCATCTGATGTATCACTCTCCTTCTTGGTCAAATAGCCCTTACACAGCCTGGAGGTGTGTTGGATCATTGTCCTGTTGAAATACAAATTATAGTCCCACTAAGCGCAAACCAGATGGGATGGCGTATCGCTGCAGAATGCTGTGGTAGCCATGCTCGTTAAGTGTGCCTTGAATTCTAAATAAATCACGACAGTGTCACCAGCAAAGCAGCCCCACACCTCCATGCGTCACGGTGGGAACCACACATGCAGAGATCATCCGTTCACCTACTCTGCGTCTCACAAAGACACAGCGGTTGGAACCAAAAATCTCAAATTTGGACTCATCAGACCAAAAGGACAGATTTCTAACCGGTCTAATGTCCATTGCTCGTGTTTCTTGGCCCAAGCAAGTCTCTTCTTGTTATTGTAGTGGTTTCTTTGCAGCAATTCGAACATGAAGGCCTGATTCACGCAGTCTCCTCTGAACAGTTGATGTTGAGATGTGTCTGTTACTTGAACCCTGTGAAGCATTTATTTGGGCTGCAATCTGAGATGCAGTTAATTGCCGATTTCTGAGGCTGTTAACTCTAATGAACTTAACCTCTGCAGCAAAGGTAACTCTGGGTCTTCCTTTCCTGTGGCAGTCCTCATGAGAGACAGTTTCATCATAGCACTTGACGGTTTTTGCGACTGCACTTGAAGAAACTTTCAAAGTTCTTGAAATGTTCCGTATTGACTGACCTTCATGTCTTAAAGTAATGATGGACTGTCATTTCTCTTTGCTTATTTGAGCTGTTCTTGCCATAATATGGACTTGGCCTTTTACCAAATAGGGCCATCTTCTGTATACCCCCCTACCTTGTCACAACAAAACTGATTGGCTCAAACGCATTAAGAAGGAAAGAAATTCCACAAATTAACTTTTAGCAGGGCAAACCTGTTAATTGAAACACATTCCAGGTGACTACCTCATGAAGCTGGTTGAGAGAATGCCAAGAGTGTGCAAAGCTGTCTTCTAGGCAAAGGGTGGCTACTTTGAACAATCTCAAATATAAAATATATTTTTATTTGTTTAACACTTTTTTGGTTACTACATGATTCCATATATAAAAATATATATACACTACCAGTCAAAAGTTTGGACACACCTACTCATTCAAGGGTTTTCTTTATTTTTTAAAATGTTTTACATTGTAGAATAATAGTGAAGACATCAAAACTATGAAATAACTTCCATGTCGGCAATTGCATTCACGAATGCATGCAACTGTTTTTAGTCTTTGCTGTAATAAAGGCTTTACAAAAACGATATGCTTATAATTTATTTAGTGTTGTTTACATTGTTCCAAATGGTCAGAAATGTTTTATATTGTAATCTAACAGCACCTGTTTGGCACAGATAATATCCATGCAGCGCTTGCTCCTTACCTTTCTTATTTTTCTTGATCTCCAGTAGCTTAGTACAGATCTGACTTTCCCTTTCCCTCCTGAGCAACCAGTAAACATTCCCCCATTTCGAGTTTATTTTCACGTCCTCCACATCCATTTTGCTGTCACATGTGTTAGTGTTTGGAGTTTGTTATAACCAATTTATTGATGAAATTATGATAGGCTATAGGTCAGGCCCTATTGGTCACGTGCATGTGATGCATACATGTGCCACGTAAAGAGAGCAAGGGTTGAGGGAATAGGGAATGTTTGTCATAAACAAATGAAGGATTTCGGTAACAGAACTTTTCAGTCAGAAATGACTGTAATTATGTTGCAGCTTCAGCAACACTGACAGCGCGATAAACACTGTTGATGTTCTGTGGTGGTCGCTGCAGCAGGGAGGAGAGAGACAACAGGTGCTTGTTGTTGCTCTTTTTTTACCCACAGCGCAGCAAGTCTGAGCCTGGCCCGGCACAATCAAATCAATTGCTGTTGGACTGCCTCGAGTCATTTGTGTCTTAATTACTTCATCAAACAGTGTGCTTAATGCATAAGACAAGCTCAGTGCATATAGTTAATTTTATTAAAACACATAGGGTGTGTCTATATATGGAAAAATACACTTTTTAAAATTGTGCAGCCTCCTCTCCTCTCCTCTCCTCTCCTCTCCTCTCCTCTCCTCTCCTCTCCTCTCCTCTCCTCTCCTCTCCTCTCCTCTCCTCTCCTCTCCTCTCCTCTCCTCTCCAACCTTCCTCACCTGGTTGTGTGTGCGTAGCAGGTAGCAGGTCTCCCTCTCCTGCTCCCTCTCTCTGTGCAGCCTCCTGTGCTCCTCCTGCAGCTGCTGTTTCTCCTCCTGAAGGTGATGCATTCTCTTCAACAGCTCCCTGCGCTCCTGCTGCGCCTCCTCTACACGCTGCTGCTCACCACAGGAGGGGAGAGGAGGGGAAGAGAGGAAGGGAGAGGAGAGAAGAGAGGAGAGGACGGGGGGGGGAAGAATGGAAGGGAGAGGAGAGGGGGAAAGAGAGGAGAGGAGGGGGGAGAGAAGAGGGGGAAAAGAGAGGAGAGGAGGGGGGGAGAGGAGAGGGGGAGAAGAGAGGAGAGGAGAGGAGAGGAGAGGGGGGAAGAGAGGAGGGGGGGGGAGGAGAGGGGGAAGAGAGGAGAGGGGGAGGAGGGGGGGGGGGGGGAGAGGGGGGAAGAGAGGAGAGGAGACAATTGTATAAAGTGAATTTGAATTTTTTGCATACATTTGGTAATTGCATTTAGACTGTATACTGGTACATTTAGATGGCTATTCTGTATCTCTGTGTGTGTGTGTACCTCCAGCACGCTGCTCTTGGTGGTCACCACCAGTATGTCCGAATTGCTGTCGTCCTCGGTAATGGTGAGACAGTCCTCGGTGGGCGTGGCCGGGCGAAACAGGAAAGGCGTGCTGGCGCCTCTGATGTCACCCGTGTGTGTGACGTAACAGAGCTGATAGAACTCCCCGTCACTCTTGGGAACATAGTACCCTGCGGAGGGAGGAGACATGTGAGTCACTCTTGGGAACATAGTACCCTGCGGAGGGAGGAGACATGTGAGTCACTCTTGGGAACATAGTACCCTGCGGAGGGAGGAGACATGTGAGTCACTCTTGGGAACATAGTACCCTGCGGAGGGAGGAGACATGTGAGTCACTCTTGGTAACATAGTACCCTGCGGAGGGAGGAGACATGTGAGTCACTCTTGGGAACATAGTACCCTGCGGAGGGAGGAGACATGTGAGTCACTCTTGGGAACATAGTACCCTGCGGACGGAGGAGACATGTGAGAACGTTTGGAAGGTTGTGTAGTGTGGCATTTTGAGACAGGTGAATTGGAGGAGTGCTGATCTAGGACCTGGTCCCCCTTGTCCATATAATCATATTCATTATGATCTAAAAGGCTAAACTGAACCTAGATCAGCACTCTGAGAGGCGTTGTGAACATCGGCCCAGTCCACATTCTATAAAAGTTATATTTTAGGGCACCACTTATCTTCAAATCAAATCAAATCAAATTTCATTGGCCACATACGAATACAACAGGTGTAGACATTACAGTGAAATGCTTACTTACAGCCCTTAACCAACAATTTACATTTATTTTTTTATAAAAAAAGTAAAATAAAACAACAACAAAAAAGTGTTGAGAAAAAAAGAGCAGCAGTAAAATAAAATAACAGTAGGGAGGCTATATACAGGGGGGTACCGGTGCAGAGTCAATGTGAGGGGGCACCGGCTAGTTGAGGTAGTTGAGGTAATATGTACATGTGGGTAGAGTTAAAGTGACTATGCATAAATACTTAACAGAGTAGCAGCAGCGTAAAAAGGATGGGGTGGGGGGGGGGCAGTGCAAATAGTCTGGGTAGCCATGATTAGCTGTTCAGGAGTCTTATGGCTTGGGGGTAGAAGCTGTTGAGAAGTCTTTTGGACCTAGACTTGGCACTCCGGTACCGCTTCCATATGTTTAATCTTATTTTGATAGTAAATGCATTCATTATTCAATCAACAGTCAGAGTAAAGTCCAGTAATTCAACTGCACTGTATTTGAGGTAAAGATCACGGTCTGTGATGTTAAATATATGCAGATGTCAGAGAGTTTCACTGACACACTACAGAGAGGACTCATATTTTCACTCTCATATCTGACCATGTCAGCCCCTGTAAAACAAGTTCACCATGGAGTGAGTGTGTATGTGTGTGTGTGTGTCTGTGTGTGTGTGTGTGTGTCTGTGTGTGTGAGAGTGTGAGAGAGTGTGAGTGAGTGTTATCCCTACAGAGGCAGAGAGGTGTTCAAGTCTCTGACCACGGTTGCGGTTGTGTTCCATCAATAAAATAAGGCAGCTGGTTTTTATACGGACCGTTAAATCCAGGGGTTACCTTAGTATACCACGGTAGTTGTGTGTGTGTTCGTCAGTTTGTAAATGTACAATGTGTGTGTGTGTGTTTGCAAGTAAGTGTGTGTAAATGGGCAGTGTGTGTGTGTTTTTATGTGTGTGAGTGTAAGTGTACAGTGTGTGTGTGTACCTTGGAACACCACAGCCCTGTGTACGGTGCTTCCAGGTTGGTAGTTTTCCGGCATGGGAGACCACAGGAACGTGTAGTAATCCCTTGCTGTGTTCCAACCCACCTACAGACACAAAGCAGGAGGAGGAAGAGAGGTTACAGCTAAAACATACACTACCATAGTGTTCTCACACCAAGACAGGACACATTGCAAGACTGGTTTGCTCCCCTAATAGCACGATATTCCTTATTTAGTGCACTATTTATTTGTGTGTGATGTATATATATATATATATATATATAGTGAGGGAAAAAAGTATTCGATCCCCTGCTGATTTTGTACGTTTGCCCACTGACAAAGACATGATCAGTCTATAATTTTAATGGTAGGTTTATTTGAACAGTGAGAGACAGAATAACAACAAAATAATCCAGAAAACGCATGTCAAAAATGTTATAAATTGATTTGCATTTTAATGAGGGAAATAAGTATTTGACCCCTCTGCAAAACATGACTTAGTACTTGGTGGCAAAACCCTTGCTGGCAATCACAGAGGTCAGACGTTTCTTGTAGTTGGCCACCAGGTTTGCACACATCTCAGGAGGGATTTTGTCCCACTCCTCTTTGCAGATCTTCTCCAAGTCATTAAGGTTTCGAGGCTGATGTTTGGCAACTCGAACCTTCAGCTCCCTCCACATATTTTCTATGGGATTAAGGTCTGGAGACTGGCTAGGCCACTCCAGGACCTTAATGTGCTTCTTCTTGAGCCACTCCTTTGTTGCCTTGGCCGTGTGTTTTGGGTCATTGTCATGCTGGAATACCCATCCACGATCCATTTTCAAATGCCCTGGCTGAGGGAAGGAGGTTCTCACCCAAGATTTGACAGTACATGGCCCCGTCCATCGTCCCTTTGATGCGGTGAAGTTGTCCTGTCCCCTTAGCAGAAAAACACCCCCAAAGCATAATGTTTCCACCTCCATGTTTGACGGTGGGGATGGTGTTCTTAAGGTCATAGGCAGCATTCCTCCTCCTCCAAACACGGCGAGTTGAGTTGATGCCAAAGAGCTTGATGTTGGTCTCATCTGACCACAACACTTTCACCCAGTTCTCCTCTGAATCATTCAGATGTTCATTGGCAAACTTCAGATGGCCCTGTATATGTGCTTTCTTGAGCAGGGGGACTTTGCGGGCGCTGCAGGATTTCAGTCCTTCACGGCTTAGTGTGTTACCAATTGTTTTCTTGGTGACTATGGTCCCAGCTGCCTTGAGATCATTGACAAGATCAAGATCACCGTTCTCATGATCATTGCAACTCCAAGAGGTGAGATCTTGCATGGAGTCCCAGGCCGAGGGAGATTGTCAGTTTCTTCCATTTGCGAATAATCGCACCAACTGTTGTCACCTTCTCACCAAGCTGCTTGGCGATGGTCTTGTAGCCCATTCCAGCCATGTGTAGGTCTACAATCTTGTCCCTGACATCCTTGGAGAGCTCTTTGGTCTTGGCCATGGTGGAGAGTTTGGAATCTGATTGACTGATTGCTTTTGCACTCCCTTTAAGAGTGTGCTCCTAATCTCAGCTCGTTACCTGTATAAAAGACACCTGGGAGCCAGAAATCTTTCTGATTGAGAGGGGGTCAAATACTTATTTCCCTCATTAAAATGCAAATCAATTTATTACAATTTTTGACATGTGTTTTTCTGGATTATTTTGTTGTTATTCTGTCTCTCACTGTTCAAATAAACCTACCATTAAAATTATAGACTGATAATTTCTTTGTCAGTGGGCAAACGTACAAAATCAGCAGGGGATCAAATACTTTTTTCCCTCACTGTGTGTATATATATATATATATATATATATATATATACACAGTGCCTTCAGAAAGTATTCAGACCCCTTGACTTTTCCACATTTTATTACGTTACAGACATATTTTTAAATGGATTAAATAAAAAATAATCCTCAGCAATCTACACAAAATACCTCAGAATTACAAATAAAAAAATAAACAGAAATACCTTATTTACATAAGTATTCAGACCCTTTGCTATGAGACTCGAAATTGAGCTCAGGTGCATCCTGTTTCTACAATTTGATTGGAGTCCACCTGTGGTAAATTCAATTGATTGGACATGATTTGGAAAGGCACACATGTCTATATTAGGTCCCACAGTTGACAGTGCATGTCAGAGCAAAAACCAAGCCACGAGGTCAAAGAAATTGTCCATAGAGCTCCGAGACAGGATTGTGTCAAGGCACAGATCTGGGGAAGGGTACCCAAAAGATTTCTGCAACATTGAAGGTTCCCAAGAACACAGTGGCTTCCATCATTCTTAAATGGAAAAAGTTTGGAACCACCAAGACTCTTCCTAGAGCTGGCCGCCGGCCAAACTGAGAAATCGGGGGAGAAGGGCCTTGGTCAGGAAGGTGAACAAGAACCCGATGGTCACTCTGACAGAGCTCCAGAGTTCCTCTGTGGCACCATCCCTACGGTGAAGCACGGTGGTGGCAACAACATGCAGTGGGGATGATTCTCAGCGGCAGGGACTGGGAAGACTCGTCAGGATCGAGGCAAAGATGAACGGAGCAAAGTACAGAGAGATCCTTGGTGAAAACCTGCTCCGGAGTGCTCAGGACCTCAGACTGGGGCGAAGGTTCACCTCCAACAGGACAATGACCCTAAGCACACATCCAAGACAACACAGGAGTGGCTTCGGGACAAGTCTCTGAATGTCCTTGAGTGGCCCAGCCAGAGACCGGACTTGAACCACATCGAAAATCTCTGGAGAGACATGAAAATAGCTGGGCAGCAACGCTCCCCATCCAACCTGACAAGAGTTTGAGAGGATCTACAGAGAAGAATGGGAGAAACTCCCCAAATACAGGTGTGCCAAGCTTGTAGCGTCATACCCAAGAAGACTTGAGGCTGTAATTGCTGCCAAAGGTGCTTCAACAAAGTACTGAGTAAAGGGTCTGAATATTTATGTAAATGTGATATTTCAGTTTTTTACATTTACATTTTTGCTTTGTCATTATGGGGTATTGTGTCTAGATTGATGAGGGGAAAAAACAATTTAATACATTTTAGAATAAGGCTGTAACGAAATGTGGAAAAAGTAAAGGGGTCTAAATACTTTCTGAAGGCACTGTGTGTGTATATATATGTTTTGAATCCTTTTTCACCCCTTTTTTTCATATTGAGACCTATGTCTTCTTTTACAAATGTGCTGTACATACAACATAAATATACACATTATACCTAAACATATACACATTAAAATACAAAAATACAGTCATGGGAAGCACAAATAAAACATCACAAATCACCCAGAAAAACAGTCACATTCCTCCACAAATATGTCCCCAATCAATACTTCAAATTGCCCGAACGGCACCAGAACATCAAGATGAAATGTATTTTGAATTTTGTTCCAGCAATACAGTGCATTAAAACTAAAAGTAGATTTACCTAGCTCGGTGGAGACCCTAGGAACCTCAAGAGTTAACCAATCCTGTGAACGGGTTAGGCAACTCAGGTGTCTATACTTCAACAGCAAAGTCAGATAAGACGGAAGTTTGTGAAGTAGGGCATTGTAAACAAAAAGGGAGTAATGTAGAGATCTATGGGTCTTTAGCGAAGTCCAGCCAACCTTTTGATACATAATGTATCAAAACTGTCACCTGTAACAAAACGAAGGGCACTATGGTAGACGGCATCCAAAGGTTTAAGAGTAGTAGCAGTTTCACTTTGATACATAATATCACCATAATCAAGAACAGATAAAAAGGTTGACTGAATAATCTGCTTCCTACTGCTTAGAAAAAGGCAAGATATGTTTCTGTAGAAAAAGCCAATTTTAAATCTTAGCTTCTTAAATCAGCACATCTACAGTATATATTTTTTAAACGTCAAATCCACATCAATCCAAATGCCTAAGTATTTACAGTACCAGTCAAAAGTTTGGACACACCTACTCATTCAAGGGTTTTTCTACATTGTAGAATAATAGTGAAGACATCAAAACTATGAAATCACACATATGGTATCATGTATTAACCAAAAAAGTGTTAAACAAATCAAATAGCCACCCTTTGCCTTGATGACAGCTTTGCACACTCTTGGCATTTCAACCAGCTTCACCTGGAATGTTTTTCCAACAGCTTGAAGGAGTTCCCACATATGCTGAGCACTTGTTGGCTGCTTTTCCTTCACTCTGCCGTCCGACTCATCCCAAACCATCTCAACTGGGTTGAGGTCGGGGGATTGTGGAGGCCAGGTCATCTGATGCAGCACTCCATCACTCTCCTTCTTGGTAAAATAGCCCTTACACAGTCTGGAGGTGTGTTGGGTCATTGACCTGTTGAAAAACAAATTATAGTCCCACTAAGCGCAAACCAGATGGGATGGCGTATCGCTGCAGAATGCTGTGGTAGCCATGCTGGTTAAGTGTGCCTTGAATTCTAAATAAATCACAGACAGTGTCACCAGCAAAGCACCCCCACACCATAACACCTCCTCCTCCATGCTTTACGATGGGAAATACACATGCGGAGATCATCCGTTCACCCACACTGCGTCTCACAAAGACACGGCAATTGGAACGAAAAATCTCAAATTTGGACTCCAGACCAAAGGACAAATTTCCACCGGTCTAATGTCCATTGCTCATGTTTCTTGGCCCAAGCAGGTCTCTTCTTATTATTGGTGTCCTTTAGTAGTGGTTTCTTTGCAGCAATTCGACAATGAAGAACTGATTCACACAGTCCACTCTGAACAGTTGATGTTGAGATGTGTCTGCAACTTGAACTCTGTGAAGCATATATTTGGGCTGCAATTTCTGAGGCTGATGACTCCAATGAACGTATCATCTGGGTCTTCCATTCCTGTGGCAGTCCTCATGAGAGCCAGTTTCATCATAGCGCTTGATGGTTTTTGCGACTGCACTTGAAGAAACTTTCGAAGTTCTTGAAATGTTCCATATTGACTGACCTTCATGTCTTAAAGTAATGATGGACTGTCGTTTCTCTTTGCTTATTTGAGCTGTTCTTGCCATAATATGGACTTGGCCTTTTACCAAATAGGGCTATCTTCTGTATACCCCCCCCTACCGATTGGCTCAAACGCATTAAGAAGGAAAGAAATTCCACAAATTAACTTTTAAGAAGGCACACCAGTTAATTGAAATGCATTCCAGGTGACTACCTCATGAAGCTGGTTGAGAGAATGCCAAGAGTGTGCAAAGCTGTCATCAAGGCAAAGAGTGGCTATTTGAAGAATCTCGATTTTAAAATATATTTTGATTTGTTTAACACTTTTTTGGTTACTACATGATTCCTCTAAAATCTGACTGTAGTTTCGACCAGGGCTCATAAGGACTGCTTGTTAATAAATCACGTGCTAATAATAGTAGAACGGGTGGTATTGTAAGATCAAGAAATCAGTTTTGACCAAAAGTCCTATATTAACAGTCTTGTATCAGCTCTTTTGATTGAAAGAAAGACAAAGTTGAAGATGTGTTAATGAGAGCATCAAATTAGTTCTACCTCGCCAGTTGTGTTTTACATCATGCACACCAGTCCTTTTCTGAAGTAAAAAAAAAGATTAGGCTACACCAAAATAATGTCCCACATTACAGGGATGGAAACATTTATCTTAAACCCCAAACCCTCCCTCACTCCTTCCCAGTTCTCTCTTCCCTCCTTGGAGAAGGTGGCAGTAGGTGGGTGTGCATGCGTGCGAGCGTGTTTGTATGTAAGGCCTGACACAGGGGAGAAAAACAGCCTAGTTTAAACAGATGAAAAAGCAGAAGAAAAAATGATGTAATTTGACACATTCTGCTAAATGAAGAGAGAGAGATGTATTGATGTGAAAGTCATGTTGTTAAGTGACGGCTGAGTAAGGGAGGACAGAACATCATAACTCCAAACATAGCCTAGACCGTAAAACTGTCATACACAATCTCTCTCTCCCTCTTCTCACTTTCCACATCCCTCTCTCCCTCCATCTCTCTCTCTCTCTTTTCTCTCTCTCTTTTCCTCTCTCTCTCTACATTCGCTCTCTCTCACTCACACAAAACATAACCAGATTATTAAATATCTCATATTGTCCTAAATATTCTAAATTAGTATTGTGTTCAAATTCAGGTTAAGCGGCATTCACTCTGAC